GCATCTTAAGGTGTTCCTTGCATCACCTCTGGTGGTTGAGCTCTAACACGTTATCATGACTGAACAAGCTGAACTGGTTAAATAGCAGAAACCACTATATTGATTTTCTTGGGTGTTCACTTGGAGGTCTCTAGAAGGCTAAGTCTCCTTTTCCAGTACTGTTCCTAACCTATAGGTGGCCTTTGTGGAGACCAGCTGCCCAGAAGCAACCTCGAAGCACTGGTTCTTTTCACTGCTAGCAAACAGTCTCCATGTAAGGACTCCATCTCCAGACAGTGATGTGCTTTTGCTTCAGGTTGGAGTGCTGCAGCTGGGCTGCTGTTCAAGTGAAGTATCCGACTTCTCCAGAGACAAATCTGAACTGATTCCTTTCGAGGTTTGTTCTGTGTAGACTTAAAAAGCTGGAAGAAAGCAATGGTTTTATGTGCAACGCTTTTAAGGTCATAAGCCAAAACTGTAGTTTGAAACTTGCCTCTTTTCCTGCAGGTAACAAACACACTACCTGCTCAAGAAGTGGCATTTTACTGTAGGAACTCCTTTGCAGGTGTTATTTTTGTACACCTTTGAATATCTCTCTAGTGCATACAACCCACCCTCCTTTGTGTAGCACTGAGAGCATACTTTCTCTTCTACAGTCTGGTCCACTGCTGATAGCATCCCAACTAGGAGAGGAGCTTTATCAGCTGCTAATGGCAACTTAGTGCTGTGGCAATAATGATCAAGGCCTTGAAAAATAAAAGGAGATCCCAGTTACCTGACAATCAGCTATCAAGAAAGCAAAGCACTGCTTCTAGTGTGGTTGCTAGGTTTTGATGTGTTTTCAGGGTGATATGGGGTAATCTTATTTCTGGGTGAATATTAATTTCTATAGCAGTCCCATAATGAGACCTTTTCTTGAGTTCTTTTTGCACAGTGCATAGCTCCAAGCAGAAGCCAGTATTGGGTGGTCAACAGATGTTTGCTTTATCTCTCAAACCTGTTTGCAGAGATGAGTAAAAGCATCTCTTGAGAACTGGATGATCTAAACTCTGCTTTCCAGTTCAGCCACTGATTGAGTCAGGCTGATCTTGAGTAAACCACCAATTGTTCTGTGCTTCACATCACTGTATGGGAAGTACTCACTGGTACTTTGTGTTGGGTATTTACACTGCAAGTTTGCTGGGACAAGACATGATTCCCTCTATTCCTATTGGAGTCCTAGCGGGGGGGAAAAAAAGCCCTTCAGGTCAAAGAGTTATGATAGAAAAAGTGAGATTCTGAACCCTATAAAGAAAGGGACACTGGGTGCCTCTTCCTACCTCTAACACTGAAGTCCTGATTTGATCTACAGGTGAGCTGTTTGAGCATGCAGTTAGGTACGTGCTTGTGCTGAATGCTAAATGGCTTTGTGATCGTTACTGAATGAAAACCACACATGACAAACTGTCAGGCAAGATGCTTTGTGCTGTAGAACACACGAAACGGCCCTTATAAAACCTGTCAGCCTGCTCATGCTGTTTGGAAATAGCTGTATTGGTAACAGTTGGCTCCTGCTAGTCTAGGTTTCGTGGTTAATGGCTATCGAATTCCTTCAGCATCAGTAGCAGCAGCAGCAGACTGAGGCTGACACAGGAGACATTGATTTGGAAGTCAAAACTAGTGATGCAGAAGCATGGTGTGTGCACACGTGTGGGACAACAGGCTTTCCCCAGCTTTTGCTGACAAGGGGTGCAATTAGTTACAGTCACACCCACAGGGTTTTGCCTTGTTCCTTATCCCTGAGGACTGCTGTTTGCTCAGATGCTTTTCCACTTGTCTTCTCTTTCTGGTATGAAGAACTGTCTGTAAATCAGGCTGACATGCTGAGCTGGCATGATTTCTGTAGTCAGGGGCTTCAGCTGGAAAAGAGATGGAATTCTCCAGCTGCTAAAATAGGCTGAGTAACCATAGAGGATACACTGCCCTCTGGGAACCTGTGGTGTCACTGTGGTCAGGTATGGCTGGAGACACTGCCACAGGAGCCCTCTCCTGCCTGTGGGGCAGTGGATGCTATAGCCCTTTGTGCGAGGGGAGAGATGGCTCTGTGGAGCAGAGAATGCAAAGTAAAGAGATGCTTCTACTTGCTCAGGATCTTCTCAATCCCATCCTCTTTTAAAAGGTGCATCTATGACTTAGATTTTCTTTGCTCTGGACTTTAATAAGGGATGCTCATCTGAAATTCTGCTGCTTACAATGTCAGAGCACTCCCAATATCCTTATGCGAGCTGCTCCTACCAACAAAGACCCTTTTGAGTCAAATCAGTTAGAAAAAAGGTGCTTCAAGAGGACACTTTGTGGATTCCTTGTGTAGTATGGAAACTCTGAAATGTTGATCTATATAAGGGCTCACCAGAAACCCGACTGGAGCCAAAGGAAATAAATCAATTCTAGTGCTGAAAACCCTGTGAAAGATGTTGTGTAAAATGTCTATTCCTTTGTTTCAAACTTTATTTGCTTCTCTGAACAAATGTGGCTCTTGACACCACCCTTTTTCCTTGCATCAAGTCTGTCCTCTTGTGGCTGTGGGTGACAATTGTTCTACTTACTGTTCACAAGCTGCAGAGGGTCATCACTTTGAAGGACAGTGGTCGTGATGAGTGGTGGGGAAGCACTAGCTTGGTTTCCTGCAACTGGGTAGTGCATCCTAAGCAAAGCAGCCTCAACTTGTCATGTCTTTGAAATGTGACATCTCCTCAAGCTGTCGTTGCAGGTACCATAATGGTTACAGATCTTGCATCTGCCTCAGTTTAGGGTTTATCTTGGCAAGGAAAGCAGACAGCAGGGTAATCGTGCTGACCATGATGCAATGCTCCCAAAGTAGCCC